TTGGTTTCACAGGGTAAGGACCTCTCATTCTAACTCAAAACCTCCCTACTGACATCTTTCCCTACCTACTGACACCTTGTACAACCGCGGAAATTCAAGAATTCGCACTTGCTATCCTGCTGTGATAGGTCGTTGTTTTAGGGTGGTTGCTTGGTGTCCTCTCTGGACATGGAATGGAAAACAGAACCTTCCAAAGGCCTGACGGGCAAGGGACAAGGACAGGTACCGGGAGTGGTTGTTATACTCAGTTCAGAACCCACATTTAGTGGCTCTCCTCCCGAGCAGGGCATCAGCTTTCAAACCAAATGTGATTTCTCAGCTGGAACTCGAAGAACTGAGCTGGATGACAAAAGGACTTCCAGTGGGCCTCTCTCCAGATACAGATCAGGCAGCAGGTACTTGTTACCTGAGTGTGTCCACTTGGGAGAAATCCCTGCGGACCCCCCTGGGTCTCCTGGAGAGACCTGCACCCCCCAACATATATTCTCTCAAAGGCCTCTGCATTACTCATGTCACCGCTCCTCCCTCTGTCCTGCAAAAGTCCTCACCATGGAGGGAAGTAAGTGTAGGAAGATTAAATGAGTTACTACATTTGTAGCACTTATTAATTGCTGTGAATATCAGTAAATGTTACCAGTTATTGCTTTTCTGTCTTCATCTGTATTTTGAATCCCTGTCTTTCTGTCTTCCTCCACTTTATATTCTCTTTCCTGTTTCACGAGTCTCTCCTGTCAGCCATAACCTCTATCCATGGCTTTCTTTCCCTCATTCATTTAAGCCTTTGTCAGCTTTCTTAAAGGAAACTAGTGTTTTTCTCCCTGAGTTGCAAACATGTATACATGTTTTATAGTCTTCATTTAAAAACAAATGAAGAAGACTTTAGCCTTGTTATTTTCACTAGTAACCTCATGTTTTATGCATTCCCTTTCTCATTCCTAAACTTTCAGTCTTCATCCCATGCTACTCTAAGCATTTAATGCCTCTGAATCTTTGTTAACCAGTTTCTAATCCCCTAATCCCCCTCACAAATGAAATTTCTGTTAGAGGTTATCGCTGAATTTCCTCTGAAAAAATACACTTTACAGCCTTATATTCTCTACTCAATATGAAAGCACTGATCACCATTTCTTCTAACACATCTTTTAAATTAAAGAGATATTAGGCACATATTTTTATCTCTGAATAGTGTATGACTACCTAAGTATAAAGCAATAAAAGAAATCAGTAAAAGAACATATTGACAGGAAAAAAAGAATCTTACGAACATTGCTGCTAGTTTCTAGTAAGCTTTCTAAAGAACAGGATTTTACAAGAATCACTGGGTCAAAAGATGTATTTTTTATGGCTCTTGTACACATTGCACAACTTTGGATATTTTTATGCCTTTTAGTGGTAATTTATTAGGTATAAAATGATCCCTTAAGGTAGCTTTAATTGCCTTTACTATAGATTCTGTGGTTTGATTATCATTGGTATTTTTTTTAAAGATTTATTTATTTGAGAGAGCGAGAATGAGAGAGAGAGTACGTGAGAGGGGGGAGGGTTAAAGGGAGAAGCAGGCTCCTCTCCGAGCAGGGAGCCCGATGCGGGACTCGATCCAGGGACTCCAGGATCATGACCTGAGCCAAAGGCAGTTGCTTAACCAACTGAGCCACCCAGGCGCCCTACTATTGCTATTTGTATTTATTCTTATGTAAATAATCTTTTTATTCAACAAACATTTTGTGAGCACTAGGCCCTGTTCCTAGCACTGTAGTAATAAACAAGACAGGCAGTTTCCCCATGGAGCTTATAGTCTAGTGGGGGGAAAGTAAATTAATAAAGAAAGCAAGCATGGAGGGAGAAGGGAAAGGAAAGGAAGGGAATGAATAGTCTAGAGTCCTAGTGCTATGTGGAAAAAGCAAGCAGAATAAAGGAACTGGATCAGTTAACAGCAGCTTTATTTTAGAGGGAGTGATCAGAGAGGGCCTCTCCTTGAAGGTGGATGTTGAACAGATAATTCACAAAGTGATAGGCCATGTAGACCATTTTGGGTCCAGGGAACAGCAGGTGCAAAGACCCTGTGGGCGACTGCATGGTCTTGTTTGAAGGGAAGAGTGCCAGGAGATGTAAAGATTTCCTTAAATTTATTTCTTAAATAAATTCCTTAAAGGAATTTTTCTTTCTTAATATTTCTTAATATTATTTCTTAATAATATTTCTTAAATAAATTCCTTAAAGTCTTTCAGTCCTTCTCTGAAAAAAATTTATTTCTATTTTTAAATTTCTATGAGCCTTCTTTTCATTCTGAGTGTTCCTTCTTTCTTAACAGCAATATTTTTTAATGCATGCATTAATTTATTTTGTCTGTATGAGAATATTTTTTGTTTGTTTTGTTTTTTGGTATATGTATGCAGCATTTTTTCCCTTATTCTCTAGATTATTTTAGTAGGTTGATATATGCCTTTTTAATTATCCCACTGTCATTTTGGTGGGTTTTCTGGAGGCAGCAGAGGTGAACACATATATTCTTAATCCTGGGTTTTCCTCTATCTTCTTTACTGGTCTTCAGGCTTCTCCACGGCTAAATCTAAAGATTCTTCATTTGTTTATGATTGCAGTTCACATTATATTTGCCTTGTCTCTCTGAATGTCTGTCCAGCCACCAGTGTGCAGGCTCACTGAATTGTCATGATTGAGCTAACTGCTTTATATCCCTGCCTGGCACGTTGCCTGCCAGAGTAGGTATTTAATATATGCTTGTTAAATGAATATTGAATGACATCAAGTAGAATTTTTAGACATTAGGTGAAAATACAGATTTGAAAGTTATAATCCTATCCGTGACATTCATATCAATGAGTATTATTAATTATCAGGAGGAGGGAATGAGAAGGGCAAAGTAGCAAGGATGGAACCCTAAAGGACAGTAAGATTGACTTGAGGCCAAAGATGCCCCAGTGAAGAGGACAGAAAGAGTTGTCAAAGGAGGAGAAGAGAATGTAGGGAGAGCCAAGGGAAGAGAGAAGCAGTGGGAGAGTACTGCATGCCAACCAAGAACTGGAGGGTGCTGTTGGCCTTAGCCAGAAGGACGCTAAGGATGTGGCCTGAGGAAGAGCACTCTTGGTGCAGAGGGAAATGTGCTGTGGGTAGATGAGTAAAGAAGCAAACAAGTAAAGACATTACAGACAGTTGTTTCAATAGGGTTCACTTTAGAGGAAAAGGAAGATACGGCAAGAGCTGAGACAAGTCAGAGGTCGAGTGCCTCTGGTTTGTTTACCAGCGAAGAGACTCAAGTGTATTTACGGGAGCAGAGAGGAGAAACCTAAGACTGAGAAAAGTGGAGCCAGAGGATGAAGCCCGGAAAATTGGTGGTGTGCTAACTCCAGGTCTTGTTTTTTTCCAGATTTTCTTTGATGTAACTGCCAGATTAAGCTACCATTTAGTCTTTTTCTGTTCAAAACCAAGACAAGAAAGTGTGGAGGACTGAATGCTGTGCTCAGCTCTTCTCCAGCCATCATGACTCACTCCTCGTAACCATCCTATGGGGTAGGTACTGCCAGCGCCCCCTCAGTGGGACAGATGGGTTCAGAGGGGGAATGACATGCCCGAAGTTGAACACAGGTTTCTTGTTTTGTTTCTGCCTTCGAGTTTAATGCTAATTCTGAAACAAAAAAGTTATAACTTTCTTTCCCTGCCTTGCTGTGACTTCTTATTTCCAAGTACATCTAGCAAAAATAGAACCTCTACATCCTGGCCCAATTTTTCTTTTAGATGATTGTTTTCTTCCTTCCTTCCTCTCTTTCTTTCTTTTTGGACAGAGAGTGTGTTTGTGAGCTTGTGGGGGGAGGGACGAGGGGAGGGGCAGAGGGAGAGAGAGAGAATCTTAAGCAGGCTCCATGCTCAGCACAGAGCCCGACACAGGCTCAATCCCACAACTGAGATCATGACCTGAGCCAAAATCAAGAGTTGGATGCTCAACCGACTGAGCCACCCAGGCGCCCTGGATGATTGTTTTCTTTTTCTGTACTAAGGTTTTCATGTGTACAGTTCTTGAATGCTTCATTAGATTTTGCCTCTGTTTTATAAAAGCTGAGTAGAAAACGTAGAGATAGAAGTTCTGTTAGAGACAGCATTATTGCTAGTAAACTTGTTAATGCTGAAATAGAGATGGGAATTATTAGTAACGTGGAAAGCAGTGAATTTTTACCCTCTAGTCAGTGGTCATTAGACTTAAATCTGTTGGTGAAGTACAGTCATGAAGGATACAAACAAGAACATGTGCAAAGTATTAAAATCTATTACCAAAGATTATGTCTATAAAATAAGATAGTTAGGGATTCTGTAACATTTTAAGCTCTCCAGGAAGCCACCCTTTACTACCCCAAACACAGAAACCTATTATTTGTGTTTTATACACGACTTTGTATCATTCTCAGAAATGTACTGGGTGACTACTTGTGTCTGTGTGCACGTGTGTGTGTTAACATACACACAGAATTTATATATTGTTACAGAGTCCCTATTTACCTTCATGCTAACCTGAGCCTCCCTCATGTATAGTACAGACACATGTCTTTGCCTCCATTAGTAGGAAAACTAACCTAAAAGACCATAATAAATATAGAAGTATCCACAGTTCACTGATCCTTACACAGGGCAGGCCCACATCTGCCTCGGGGCCTCAGCACTGGGATTTCCTTCTGTGTGGGATGCTCTCCCTTTGATAGTCCTGTGACTCCCTCCTCACCCCCTAAAGTCTTGGCTTCAATATCACCTTTTCATTGTGGCCTTTCCTGAAGACTCTATGTAAAATTACAAACCATTCCCCTCACCCATCATGTTCCCTATTTCCACTTTCTTGCTTTTATTTTTTCCATAAGGTATGCCACTTACATTCTAAGTATTTTACTTATTATGTTGATTGCCCTTCTTGCTCTCATGGAAATATAAGTTCCTTAAGGGTAGAAATGTGTTTTGTTCATTGCTAGCACCCTAATCAGCACCTGGCTCAACAGATATTTCTTAAAGAGATATTTCATGTTCAGAGGATCCGTCTGGCTGCTATATGGAGAATGCACTGTACAGCACCAAGAGTGTTAAGTAGGAAGTCCAGTCAGGTGAATAAGTGGTGGAGTGGAAGGAGTAACTTACCTACTACACAGGGGATTGAAGGAAGACAAAAAGAAATAAATCGACTTGCCATAGGAAGAGCAGGACCTGCTGCCCGAGAGCTGTACCCACCCCAATTCTCTGCAGGCTCTTGGCCTCTACTATGGCCAGTGTCAGCCATAAAGACTGAAGGATCTGTGTTCTCCCAGATGCCTCAGTCCTGGGGGCTCTTGTTCATGTCCTGATGAGTACCAAAATTATATAAAGCCTATAACTAGACATTCTAAGGGAGAATGGGCTATCACTCCAAAGTCCTGTTTAGGGAAAAAGGAAGAGGGGGCTGTATATTGTTTAACACAAAATAATAAGGGTAATGGTAACAGCTAACAATCAATGAACGCTTATCCTGGCCAGGCACATTGCTGTGCACGTTACAGGGGCCTTGTTTAATGAGACAGCAAAATAGCAAGCATCTGAACCTCATCCAATCCTAGAAGAGCTATAGTTTTTGATCCTTAGTGCTCCGGTCCCAGCCCTTCAACACTTCACTAATTCTGAGTACAGCTACCCTAACACTTTTATGTTTTCCAGGGAGACAGTCATGTGATCTGAGAAAAGTAAAATTTCCTCCCCTCTACGTTGTCTAATGTACTGGTCACACTTTGGGAACAATATTAAATAGTAAGCATCTTTCCTTGATTCTGTTGCTAGTGTGAATTCTAGAGTTTTATGTGTATGCTTGGTACACTGCTTATAATTTTGTTTTTGAATCAGGATCCAACATTGGATATTATCAAATACTTCTGAAGCATCCCTTGGGTTGGTCACAGGTCCTTTTTCCCATGTCCCACTAATATATTAATAGATTCCTAATAGCGAGCATTCTGGAACTCCTGGATAAATCCTTTGTTCAAATCGCCTATCTAAGTAGTATTTCAGGAACGGCATAGGAGTTCTATAATTACTAAATCTTTCATATTTAAGAATGTGTTTTGGTTTTCTCTACACATGTATAGAGTACTGGCCATGTGCAATTCTTGAGTCACATTGGTCTTTCCTCAGTCCCTTGTAGACATGGCTTCCCTGTTTTTGGCATCCCATGTACCCGGAGCGATCACTTCAGTCAGTTTTTAAAAAAATTGTTGGTAATCCATTTTTAATTTCCTGCAGCAAATCTCCAGAATTAACTTTTAAATTAGATCTCCAAATTCCATGAAGATATACTGTCTCTTTTCTTTAGTACATAGTGATGTTTCAACTTAAAATTGTTAATATTTTCCAAAATAGGAAATATTTTATTGTTCTCATTTTAAGAAATGTCATATATACAGAAGAATATGTAAAATACATGTACTATTTAGCAAAAATCTACGTATTCTAAGCTCTTTATAAGTATTAACTAATTTTTGTTCTTACCTCAACAATATACAATAGGTGCCATTTAACAGATGAGGACAGGAACACGGACAGGCCCAAGGTCACACAGCTAAGTGGAGCCAGGTAGCCTGGCTCCAAAGTTGTCGTAGCCATTATGCCATACTGCTTTTCTTTATAGTTCACGATGATAAAGATGAACAAATAATAAGGAAAGCAAACACCCAGACACTAGAACCCAGATTCGGAAACAGAACGTTGCTTGTATCTTTTTTTTTTATTTTAGGATTTTATTTATTTATTTGACAGGGAGGGAACACAAGCAGGGGGAGTGGGAGAGGGAGAAGCAGGCTCCCCGCTGAGCAGGGAGCCCGATGGGGGGCTCGATCCCAGGACCCTGGGATCACGACCTGAGCCGAAGGCAGACGCTCAACGACTGAGCCACACAGGCGCCCCCATTGCTTGTATCTTAGAAATGCTTTGTTTGAGCCTTCTCATTCACATCCTCTTACCCAAGACATAACCATTCTTCCCACATTTGTGATAATTGTCTTTCCTTGCTTTTCCTTACAGTATTGCCATCCATAAAGAAATCTCTAAACAATACATTTAGTTTTAGCCTGTTTTTAAACTTTATCTAAATGGCCTCTTACTATATACATTTTTGTGTGACTTGGCTTAAATTACTTATTAATTCTGATTATTCTACATAGCTTTAGTTAATGTTCTCTGTTGGTTCGGGCTGCTATCACAGAACACCATAGACTTGGTAGCTCTAACATCAGACATCTATTTCTCATAGTTCTGGAGGCTGGAAGTGTGAGATGGGGGCACCAGCATGGTTGGCTTCCTGGTGAGGGCTCTCCTCCTGCTTCATGGACAGCTGCCTTCACACTGCATCTGCACATGGTAGAGAGCAGAGAGAGGGGAAGCAAGCTCTGTCATCTGTCACTTCTTATAAGGGCTTTACCGTCATGACTTAATGACTTCCAAAGGTTCTCCCCCTAAAGTTATCTCATTGGGGATTACGCTTCAACACGTGAGTTTTGGGGAGACACAAACATGACATCCTTAACATTCACTGTTTTCAGTTATCCTGTTATAAATATTTCACAACTTAGTTATCCATTCTGTTGTTGGTAGCAATTGGGTTGTTTCCAGTTTTTTGCTCTTGTGCACGATGTTACCTTTAAAATTATGAATTGTGGTGTACCTTTGCAAAGCAGATTCCCTAAGTGTATGTACCTACTAGTGGGTTTGCTAAATCACAGTCTGTGTGCCTGTTCTACATTACTAGGTAGTGTTAAACTTTTTCAAACACCGGAACCAAATTACATCTCCACCAGCAGTATGTGAAAGTTTGCATTACAGCACATCTTTCTAAAATCTGAAGCTATCAGTCTGCACTTTTTAATTTTTTTACTCAGGTGGATGTTACTCATTAGAGCTTTAATCTCCCTTCTCCTGGTTACTGTTGAGATTGGGTATCTTTGCTTGTTTACTCACCACCACTGTTTCCTTTTCTTAAGTGCCTATTCAAGTCTTTTGCCCATTTTTCTGGTGGGCTTAGTGTTCCACGACACTGTTTTCCAGATCGAGGTTCTAGTCCTCCTGTATGGGCCGTGTGTTGCAAAGATCTCCTTCCAGTATGTCACTGTTTTTGTTTACTTCCTTTTTGACGCCTTTTGATGACTGGAAGCATTTCATTATTCTCCCAGTGTTTATTTTCCAGGTGGTTTTTATGTTTTTTTCCTCATTCTCCTGTTACTATTATTTTAAAATTTTATTTCTTGAACCTCTACATAGTTTCCACATTTGTTACTTTCTGTGTATCATTTATCTTTGAATGAGGGCAGTTCTGTCTTGAGTTTATATTTGTCTAACAGTGTGAATGGCTCCTCCTTTGCCCTTTATGTTGTTTATTGGGTAGAGCTTTGGTTGCACAGTTGGATGTGATATAGTGACAGGACAGGAGGTAGCCTCCAGTTCATGTGTTACCTGTTGATATTCACACTCAATTGGAGAGGTCCTTTCTGGGGTTACCTGGTGGCTTTAGAAGAGGAGCCTGCGTGGCTTTCCACTTTTTCTCTTTTTTTACATAAGCAGGTCAGGTTGCAAGGAGGTGGTCCGGTTAATGCATACCTCATGCTTCATAGTAAAGCCTCCTGCTCACAGGCCTTTGGTTTGTTGGTTCAGTGTTGATCTTGGCTCTGGTAATTTTGATCAAGCTGACAGCTGATTCTCAGATTGTAGTTTTCTGTCCTCTGCCTCTCATTGCCCGGTCCCCACCCCCAGCCACTTTGTCTAGGATAAGAAGGGGGATCTGATAAAATAAAGTCAGAGTGGTCACAAGGTCCTTCCTTCAGCCCCATCTCAAGCAGCTCAACAGATCCTGCTTTGCCTCTCCCTGCCTGTTTTTATTACTTTACAATTTTTTTTCTTGAACCTCTACATAGTTTCCAAATTTGTTACTTTCTGTGTATCATTACTTTGTTACTTTCTGTGTATCAAATCTTTGAATGAGGGCAGTTCACATCTCTAACGAATGGGTATTTAGTAGGAAATGGTAGGGCCCTGTATGACCCTCTTACCTAAAGAGAGAATGAGAAACTTACAGCCTGTTGAAAGTTGGTGGTAGGGTGAACCTTTAGATTGTGTCATCCTCCCTTAAGTTTCAAGTAGGTTGTGGTATTTTATGTTCCAAACAAGCATATTCCTGAAGGGTAGTTTATATGCATTATCTTACTTAATCCTCATCAGATTATTTTTATCTTTATTTTAGGTCTGTGAAAACTAAAACCCAGAGAAACAACTAGTTAAGAGGGTAAGTTAACAGTCAGGGTTTAAACCCAAGTGTGTCTGATTCCAGAGCCAACAATCTTTCACGGTGTCACACTGTGGTGTTGTACAAAGATTTAGTGTCAGAATTAGAGGCAGCATTGCAGGGGAGAAGAAATTGCTGGTGGGAATACCAGGGCTTTCTGATCTGCCTCCCCCGATCCCAGCTTGTCTGTATATTTTCCCTTCATTCCGTCTTCATTATTCAGCCTTGTCCAAAGGTCAGTGATTTCAGTGTCCATCCCTCCTGCATACACAGGCTTACTCTTTTCTCTGCTTACTGCCTCCTCTAGTTCTCCTGTTATTTATGAACTGGTTCACTGTTCTTTCCCTCCCTTCTGGTTTTCTTCCTCATTGTAGGGACATCTTTGAAAACTCTCACATGTGCCCCACAGTTATTCTCAGTTTCTTTCTCTCATTCCCACCTTAGACAGTTTTTTGTCTTCCAGCACAGAAACCGATGTGTATTTGAATTTTTATTTTTTTCAGACTGGGAGACAAGACTTGAAACCAAAGAATCAACTATAAAGCCCAGCATTACTGAATATTTATCCTATGGGGTAATGATGGAAAGGGAAGGTCTCTGGCCTTCTTCTTTAGGGGAAGCCTGGGAACCTGATAATTGGTTAGATGGGCAACAGAAAAACCAGGACAGACATCTGCGCCAAGTGGCCGTTACTCATAAGGAAACCCTCCCTGAGAGGAGGGCATGTGGAGGTCATGAATTTGAAAGATGTTCTAGTCAGGGGTCAATCCTTGATATACAACAAAGTATTCCTGTGGGACAAAGGCCCCATAATCAGAATTCACATGGAGAAGACACTAAACAGAATTCTGAATTAATTAAAACTCAAAGTATGTTTGTAGGAAAGAAAATCTATGAATGTAATGAATGCGGGAAAACCTTCAGCCAGAGCTCATCTCTTCTTAAGCACCAGAGGATTCATACTGGGGAGAAACCCTATAAGTGTAATGTATGTGGGAAGCACTTTATTGAACGCTCCTCCCTTACTGTACATCAAAGAATTCATACTGGGGAGAAACCCTACAAATGTAACGAATGTGGGAAAACCTTCAGCCAGAGCATGAACCTTACTGTTCATCAAAGAACTCACACTGGAGAGAAACCCTATCAGTGTAAAGAGTGTGGAAAAGCTTTCCGTAAGAATTCATCCCTTATTCAACATGAAAGGATTCATACTGGAGAGAAACCATACAAATGTAATGAATGTGGGAAAGCTTTTACCCAAAGCATGAATCTTACAGTTCATCAGAGAACTCACACAGGAGAAAAACCCTATGAGTGCAATGAATGTGGGAAAGCCTTTAGTCAGAGCATGCACCTTATTGTACATCAGAGAAGTCATACTGGAGAAAAACCCTATGAGTGTAGTGAATGTGGAAAAGCCTTTAGTAAAAGCTCAACCCTAACTCTGCATCAACGAAATCACACTGGAGAAAAACCCTACAAATGTAACAAATGTGGGAAATCCTTTAGCCAAAGTACATACCTTATAGAACACCAGAGACTTCACTCTGGAGTAAAACCTTTTGAATGTAATCAGTGTGGAAAAGCTTTCAGCAAGAATTCATCTCTTACTCAACATCGGAGAATTCATACTGGAGAGAAACCTTATGAATGTATGGTATGTGGAAAACATTTCACTGGGCGATCTTCCCTTACTGTACATCAGGTTATTCATACTGGAGAGAAACCTTATGAATGCAACGAATGTGGAAAGGCCTTCAGCCAGAGTGCATACCTTATTGAACATCAAAGAATTCATACTGGTGAGAAACCCTATGAATGTGATCAGTGTGGAAAAGCCTTCATTAAAAATTCATCCCTTATAGTGCATCAGAGAACTCATACAGGAGAGAAACCCTATCAGTGTAACGAATGTGGGAAAGCCTTCAGTCGGAGTACAAACCTTACACGACATCAGAGAACTCATACCTGAGTTTTTTCATTGAACCCTTCACCAGGATTAACTCTTTGGTGATAATCAGATAAGTCATGTAACACAGAAACCTAATAAATGTAATGATTGTAGGAATCTTTTAGTTGAAGTTTAAGTTTCTCTATCAGATAATACCACCACAAAGAAACCATATAAAATAGAGAAATCTTAATTCAGAATGTAAAACATTCCTTTACACCAGAAGGTTTAAATAGCTAATGTTCTAAACAATGATGATTCATGCTGAAGGTAAGTTCTGTTGTATCTTACTGTAGATCTTCTTTAGATATCAGAGACTTCACACTGGAGAGAAAAGGTGAGAGTGCTAAACTGGACAGCCCAAAGACTTGGTATGTAGTCCTGATCTGCCACTAACTTAGACAAGTCACCTACTTTCACCAGGTCACAGTGTCCTTATTTGGTAAATGAGGGATTTTGAATTTAGAAGGTCTCCAGGATCCCTATTAGCTCTAAAATGCTATAAACCTATAAATATAACCAATACTGGGAAATCCTTGATCTTTTACCATGTTATAAATGTTACCTAGATGCTCCTATTTCACAATCTGGTTTACCTGGATGTTTTGAGTCAAAATTCTCTACCTCTACCAAATCCTAGTATTATCCATCCATGTCCCTCCCCCTCCTCCTGCACTGTTATTTTCTCCCCTAAAACTTAGGCTGGTTGCTACCCGGGTGATGAAACAATTGTACAGATCTTAATGCAATAGCATGCTATTTTGAGTTCTCAACTAACAGTCATTAAACTACTGTTAAGTAAGCTAATTATTTAGAAAACAGTATAACTTAAATATAGTCTCTAAGTACATAGGATTCAAATATGTATCTTTGTACCATACTCTGTATCAAAGTGAAAAGGAGAAAGGGTTAAACACTAATAGACATGAAAATGTGACATATTAACAAAATCTTTGCAACTCAAAATGTATTCAAAACAATCGTAGGTTTTATAGATCTCTAGTGATGACAGTAGTTAAGACAATTTCATTTATTTCACACATAATAAGTGCTAAATATGTGATAAATATGATGAGAAGATCAAAATGGATAAGATATATTCTTTGCTTTTCAAGGGCTAAACTAAAACACTGGCTGTGGCATGGGAGAGGAAAGGAAGAATTCAAGCAATAATGAGGCAGAATCTAGATAATGTGGTAATTGATTAAATGTAGGAACCTGAATTTATTTGGGTGGATGGAGTACCATAATTAAGAACACACAAAGTTGACCGATTTTGTGGGGAAATGGTAAGTTCAGTCTGGGGGCATTTTAATGAGTCTGTGGGAATCCAAGTGAAAATTCCTGACAGACACTAGACTAAGTGGCAGGGCAGGTGTGAAGGGTATTCTGAGAGTACTGTCACTGAATGGGGGAAGTGGAGGAAGTGGAACCAGTGAGAGCTGAGAGGAAACAGCAACCAAAACGAAAATGAAACGCAAAAGGAAAAATTAGAAGATGGTGGCACAAAAGTAAAAGAATTTCACATAAGGTAAGAATAGTTAGTATTTTCATATGCCGTGGAGGGTTAAAGTAAGATAATTAAAAATGGCCTTTGGTTTTGGTTACTGATAACCTCTGTTAAATATTAGTGGGTTGAAGAGTAAGTTAAAGGCTGAAAAGGACTCATTCACTTACCTGAGAAAGGAGACACTGAGAAAGATAACTAGAGGGAGACCAGCATGGAGAGCGGGTGTATCTATCAGAAGAGATTTATGGCTACAAATACTGGAAAGCCCAGTTAACAAGGCTTACAAGCAAGCAGGGATTTTTTTTTTCCCTCACATAACAAATCTGGAGGTGGGTGGCATCGTTTCAAAGACAAAATTAATTCAATGTCTTTAGTTCCATGGCTTTTCCACCATGGTCACATGATGGCTGCTCTGCTTCAGGTAAAGTATGTGCATTCAAGGTAGGAAGAACGGGGATGGGAAGCACCAGCACATCTGTGCCTTTTATCAAGAAAGGTTGTCCCAGAAGCCCCTCAGCAAACTTCAGCTTACATCTCACTGACCACAGCTGCGTTATATGGAGGCCAGTAACAAAGGAGGCTGAAAAAATAAATACTCTTCCAGCCTCTAAAGTGGAGGTAGGCAAAACAAAGGAGGTTTGAGCAAGGTGTTGATCTGGCCAATGAAGAGTCTGGCATGAGTATGTTTATATGACCACTGAAAAGAAACGTGTGGAGAGTCAAAGGTGCAGCATGGCGGGATGGGCAGCTCAAAGTGGGAGAACGGGAGTGGGGCAGAGGTAGAAACTATAGGAACCTTTTTCATTTTTTTTTAAAGATTTTATTTATTTGACAGCACAAGTAGGGGGAGCGGCAGGCAAAGGGAGAAGCAGGCTCCCCACTGCGTAGGAAGCCTGATGCGGGACTTGATCCCAGCACCCTGGGATCATGACCTGAGCCGAAGGCAGCTGTTTAACCGACTGAGCCACCCGAGCACCCCTATAGGAACATTTTTCAAAGGAAGGAAATTTTTCATTGGGAGAGGTGGGAATCAATAAGTGATGGGTACAGAAGATGTTTGTGGGTGGCAATGGAAGAGGCTCCCCATAGACGCTGGGTCCCCAGGCAGGTCAGGCTCTTTGGGCTATGTGACCCCTAAGCTCTCACTCTTGGGAGCTGGAACAAAGACGGAAGGGGAATGAAACAACCATATCCTCGGAAACTTAGATCTTTAATATTTGTCCCTTATACCTAGTTTCCTGCTTTGCCTTCACATATTTTTTTCTAGAGGAGGCAGAGAGAAGAGATGGATAGAAAGTAGATGAAAATGATAAAGAAAGCAAAATAAAGGGTCAGAAGGATGGCACCGGACAAGGGGGAGAGGAAGAATGAAACATACTGAAGCCTAAGAAGATGCAATAACTCAAAATTTGGTGCCATACTAACCTTTAGAGGAGGCAGCTGGAGAAACGGGTCTTTAACATGGAGGTCGCACTACTTTTTCAGGAGTTTTGGAAGCCTTAGGCCCTTGTATGTCAGTTCTCGGTCATTCTGGGCAACAAGTAAGGAGGGCAGTCTCTGCAGCTGTCCTCTATCACCAGGGCCAGGACTCCGGGTTCCACTTACTAGACACGAAGCCTCGGGCAGGACACTCAGCATCTCGGTGCTTCACTTCTCTTGTTAGTAGTGCAAACCGCACAGCTGCGGATTACAGTAGGTCCCCATGTAAAGTGCTTATAAAAGTGCCCAACACATAGTGCTCCATAAACAGATTTTCACCATCCGCATATACCTGAAAACAAAGTGACATCCAGACTGCTTAGCTCGGCGTCCAGAAACTTAGACTCCCTAGGCCCTCCGAACCAGTGCCGCGTGCACACCAAGGCTGCATGGGTGCGGGAGGCTGTCCCTCCGGCGCCCCCACCAGCCGACCCGCGAGCCCGTCCAAGTGTGCTCGGCCCCGCCCCTGTCGCGCAGACGCCTCCGGTGGCGCTCGGCCCCGCCCCTCTGGCGCAGACGCCTTCGGTGGCGCTCGGCCCCGCCCCTGTCGCGCAGACGCCTTCGGTGGCGCTCGGCCCCGCCCCTCTGGCGCAGACGCCTTCGGTGGCGCTCGGCCCCGCCCCTCTGGCGCAGACGCCTTCGGTGGCGCTCGGCCCCGCCCCTCTCGCGCAGACGCCTTCGGTGGCGCCCAGCACACGCGGAGCGAAGCCGACGGTCCCCTTCAGGCCTCCCGTCCGGCTCCCGCCGGCTCCCCGTGCCCTCTCCAGTCCCTCCGGGCTCAGCGAGCACACACTTCTGTCTCGGGAGCTCGCCGGCCCTCCCCGCGTGTTCACACGGTTCCCTCTCTCGCCGGAGTCAGTCCCCGCTCACGCGTCCCCCCCGCAAAAGGGCGTTTCCAAAACGCGACTCAACGCCCCCCCACGCCCACCGCCACAGGTTTCCCGACACCGCCTACGTGCAGGTTGCACTGGTCCCTCCCCAGCCCCCAGGACAGCGCCGGACACACCGAGGCTCCCGAGCTGTCAGGAGGATGGAAGCGTCCGTAAAACCCGGCACGGGAGGCCGCCGTGGCCCCTGAGTCCCTGACACCGCTTCCTACGCTGACAGCTCCTTGACAAACCTCAGCTCACATTTTTGACTCCCCCCCACCCCAATTCACCACCGACAAAGTTAAAACCTCCTCTTTCCTCCCCGAGCTCGCGAAAACGTGTGTTCTAAGGCACCTCAACGTCCCCGGCGCGATTTTCCACAGGCCCCCCGTGCCCGCCCGCCCCCGCGGAAACGAACACCTCCCGCGCTCCCGGCCCGCTCCCTCCCCTCGGCGAGCCGCCGAGCCCAGGCCGCCCCACCACCTCGGCGCTTCTCCCGGGCCCCGCCGCCGGCCCCGCACCCGGGCCACACCGCCACAACGGGTTGCGTCCGCCGCCTTCTCAAGTCGTCCCCGCGCGGTCCTCCGTCAGGAAGGCGCCTTCTGCGGCTTCTCACCTCTCACTCCGTCCTCGGGGACCGCCCCGATCCGCTCCCCACGGCGACCGACAGACTTCACGCCGTCGTCAGCTTTTCTCTGGTCTCTACCTTCCCCGGGCGTTACTTCAAGTCTGAGGCTGACTCCGAGTCGGACTGGAACGGAACGAAGGCCGCACGCGCGGGTTAGCGCACCGGGGAGAGCTGACTAAGGGGAACCGCGACGAGCGTGCCGTGGCCTCTGGGAAATGTAGTTTCAGCACGCAAAGCACCCAGGAGTCGTGTTGAAGGGCGAGGCCCTGTCTGCGCAGGCGCACGGTATCACCTTCTCGGCCCTGCGCAGGGGTGGCGCTCGCCGCCGCTTCGCCCGCTGGGAAGTGGAGTCTTGGGAAGCCGAAGGCTTGCAGCCCTCGGACTCGCGGGTGTTCGGCTCCGCGGCTCCCCCGGCAACGCGCAAGCGCAGTTCCGACCCGGGCTGCCGACTCCCGCTCATTGTGCTCCGCCTGCGATGTGGCGGTTGCGGTTCCTCGCCGCGGGCAGAGGCTCCTTGAAGGGCAATCCGGTGGTGACCAGGCACGGTGGCCAGAGCCGCGTCGGGAGAGCGGGAGCGGCCGTGGGGTGGTCGGGCCGGGGGGCAAGGGCGGGGGGAAAGAAGGCCGAGGAGGTACGGGTCGTAGTCCGTTCTGGAGGACGCTGATCGGATGCCCCAAACTTCCCGGGACGTATGGCTGAGGTTTGATTGAAGAGGAAAGGGGAGGACGGCCAGGTGCGGGCTGTTGGTTTTAGGGTCGGAATGTGCGAGAGCATGTGCAGGAGGATGCGGTCCGGGCCTCTGCGTGTGTCTCGGAGGAGCCGACTCCGGGAAGCCGGTGGACGCTCCGGGGGTGATGCTCCGGGCTGTGTCGGAGCCCCGTCTGCGGACCTCGCCGAGGCCGGGGCAGCCGCAGCCGCAGCCGCAGCTCCCGCGGGGACCGGGCAGGGGGCCGGAGGGTGGCTTCTAGGAATGAGACTCCCAGCCCCCTCCTCGCCACCCAGCCACACAAATGCACTGCCTCTCGCCCTCCTCTGGCTCTTTGTCACCCACACTGGGCCCCTGAGGGGGGAAGGCCTGAGGTCGGAGGAGGGCTTGGCCTGAGAGGCCTTGACAGTGAGTATCCAGCCCTCTTAGCTTGCCTTTGGAGGAGAAAGAAGACCATCCTTCCCCACTTCTTCCACTCCCCTCCCAGGCAGGGGGGAAAGTTCTGTTGAGACCTGTCAGGGTAACTTAAGGGCAAAGGCCAGAGGGTGGGTAGAAAGCCTGAGATCTGGGAGTGAAGGGTGCTTTCTGCAAGGAGAAGCCAACCTATTTAAGATACAGAAGGGAAGATGTGGCGGATTTGATCCAGATGCTGGGGGAAAGTGTGGGGCTGGGAATGGCTGCATGCTGAGGGATTCCCTTTACAGTGGAGGCCAGCAGAACTATCCTCAGAGAGGAGAGAGAATTGGGAGCAAATAGGGACTAAGAATCTACTGCTTCGGGGTATTGGAGGACTCCCAGGACGTGAATGCTCCCAGCCTCAGTCTGGACTGTCCTGTGATCTCTTTTAACCCAGTTCTCCTCATAACAGGTGTGTAGAAGTTTCTAGCCTAAGTCCTGCTCTGCCAGTCCCTGAAAGGGCTTATCAGAGAAGGAATGGCCGTCAGGCACCTGCCAACCATGGTCCAGGTGAGTGGGGAGTTGCTGCAGGGTTCCCCGCCCACAATTTGCCTTATAAAAGTTTTGAATGTAGAGGTCTGAAAAGGGTGTGCTTGTTTTTTCACCCTGACCAAGAGCTTGTCTCTTAATCCAGTCTCAGTTGGAGGCCTGACCCCGTTGCTCCTATATGTACATGTATAAATAGAGAAATATATATGTGTATATGTTTATATATGTATATATATAACTTTCTTCTCTGGGCTTCTCCTTAACTCTTCTCAGGGCACACCAGCTTCTTGGCTTCTCAGCCAAGAGGTTCCAGGGAAGGCACTAGTTGTGATCAGAGGAGACAAGGTCATATTGTTCAGAATGACTATTCCTGTGTGAACCATGTATGTGTGTTGGGGGTGAGCAGGTGAGCAGCTGAAGACAAGCAGGAGTTGCTAAGCAATAAGTAATAGGTGCTGGGCCATGTTCTCCAAGACGTGCCAGGAAGACAAGAGAGATGTGGAAACAGTCCCTACCTAGCTTCTTGGAGTCCAGTGGGGGGAATCCGAAAGCAAATGAGAACTCACAATAAAGTGGGACGGTGCTTTGCTGGGCCTGCACAGGAGTTGAGGAAGGCTCTGCCCAGAAGGAAATGTGGAGGCTGAGGCCTAGGTAGGATTTGGTCATGGGGTGGGGTGGAGGCAGGGCTGGGCAGATTGAGGGAGATGGGAGAAAATGTCCAGGGCAAAATGAACAGCAAGTATGAAGTCTCAGTGCTAAGGAAGCATATCTTCTCCACAATATGTTTCTTCAAGACAGGAAGTAAGGTCTGATAAAAATTCGGCCCCTAGGACACCCTGAGGAAATGCTTACGTTGTCACAGAATACCGTCCGGCTCTATGCTAACAGTCCCGCACCTCTCAGCTGGCTTCTGGGGACTGCCAGGCTCAGCACTTCCCAGAGAGCCATGGGAGGGGGTTGCCGCAGGTCACCAGCGATGGGATTTGCTGTTACAGGAATCAGTGACCTTCAAGGACGTGGTCGTGCTCTTCACCCGGGACGAGTGGGCACAGCTAAGCCCTACTCAGAGGGCCCTTTACAGGGATGTGATGCTGGAGAACTACAGCAACCTGGTCTCACTGGGTAAGCGGGGGGCCTCCGAAGGCTGATCTTCACATCTGGGGATCCCTTTGGGACCCTTATAAACTCTTAAACTGGTTCCACACAGAAGACTGGGCTGGGAGTGGGCTGATGGAGGATGTTCTCTTCAGGGCTGCTGCATGCCTACCCCTGGTGTCCTGGGGACGTGACCCCTTTGGAGTCTAAGTGCAGATGCTTCGAAGGCGATGAGGTTGAATCCTCTCTCCGTTTCAGCCCTTCAGGGAGAAGGACATGGGAACAGATGGTTGGCGTCAGGCCCCAACCGTCTGTTCTTCCTTCTGGGGACTCGCCTGTCCCCTGGCCTTCCTATCGGGTCACCTTTCCCAGGAAGTCCCGAGGACCAGGTCTCCTCCTTACAATGATTTTATCGCTGGTATGAACAGATGTGGTCCATTTCCCCCTCAAAAACAGGACTCTTAGGACCTCAACCAGAGCTGTTTTCCCAGCTGGGAAAAGGAGAAGAATGGATGCTGGAGGATGCATCGGGAAGCTTCTGTCTTGGTAAGAGCCCTGCGTGTGGGAGGCACCTGGAGGGACCTCATTCACCGCAATATCTGGTTGCCACACTGGTCCCCCTGTGCATGTGGGCTCTCCTCTCCATGAATTTTCTTCTCCCTTCTTTGGTGTAGATTAATAGTCTCCAGTTGGGAAAAGGCCTCCGGTGTAATTCGGGCCTCTCCCACCAGCCCATGTCTCTTTTAGCATCTGACAGTGCAGTCTCTGCTCACGGTTCTCGGTGGTGAGGAACCGTGCCAGCTTACACACAGCAGGGTGTGATGGGCCGGCTAACCATCTGCCTTCTGAGGCAGGCCTTCTGGCTAAACATTGCACACTTCTTCAACTGCCTTCATATTTGTTCATCTGTATGTACATATATTCGGCCAGCATTTAATTATTCTCTGCCTGTTGTCAGCACCACACTCGGCTGGAAGCACCATGAGAATATGGCCAGGTTTATACTTTGCTGGGTTGCTCACTTGGCACCTGCTGGGTGGCAGAGACTTGTAGCCTGAGGATACAGAGAACATGACAGTTTGGTGGTGGTTACTTGTCTCAAGGGGCCCTGTGGGTCCGGTAGCTTAAGAGCAGGAGTAGGGGTGCCCCTCCCCTTGCTCCTGAATATTGTAGGGAGCATATTGCCTTATCCAAGACGTGACGACATTTCCCTTTGGGCTGGCATTTTGTAGGCTGGAAAGTATTTTTTTTAAAACCTTTTGGTACTGATTTTTCACCCAGCAAAACAGGCAGGGATTTATGGACCCAATCTGTTACGGAATTTAAATGTCTTAACTCTAAAACTCAGTTATCCAAAAAAATATCTTCTAACTTACCGCAGTAGCATTCTGAATTTGTATGTTCTATTATACCCAAGCTAAGGCATTTTTAGTATTTCATTCTGTATTATGCAAGCAGTGTTCTAACAAAAGAAGGGGGGGCAATTAAGCAAGAGAAATTCATCCACTGTCCTGCCACTCTAGCATAACATCATCCGTTCTTCCATTACTCATCGTTACCACTAGTTCTTTCTTGCACTTGGGTGGGGGGAATATGAAGATGGAGGAGTTTTATGTCTAGAAGCAGTTTGATAGTCAGGTGTAGGTAATGACATGAAAAACCAGGTGGTCAGGGTTCAGGCCCTCCCAGGTGCCTTTCCCGACCCTCAGGGTCCAGCACCTCGTATTCCCGAGTTGCCTGGACACCCCAAACCTTGAGCCGATTCTTGAGGGATGATAAGTGGTCAGCACTGATCAGGCATGGGAAGAAGTCTTATTTTACACTTCCCAGTGAAGTTTTATAGCTGTTCCTCTCATTATCTATGGAAGATATATTTTTACTTTTGAATAGAACCATCTTCTCTTTTGTTTTTTTTTTAGCCAGAATTGCTGCTATGGAGAAATGGTAGTCATTTCCAAATGCTTATCGCCCTCTTGTCACTCTCTCATTATTACTATTCTTAAAGCACTCATTAGATCATTTTTAGTTTTGGTTTTTTTCTTATTTCTGTTTCACTTCATAATGACTGACTGGGACTTCAAAAACCCATCTAGAACTTCTCCATTGTTGCACCAGCTACCCTTGGTTTAGAACAGACACTTATTTTCAGTGGTAGGAAGAAAAAGTCCTTCTGATAGGTTTCTCTTCTCTGGGCCCTGTGCTAGCGGAGGGAGAAAAGAGTTGGCATTTGAGCCCCTGGGGACCATCACCGTGCTGGGTGTTTTCCCAGGGAATTTAGGCGAATTGCCCCATTTAGTCCTTACAACCTGTGAGGCAAGTCACATCAACCCCACTTACAGAAAACCAAGCCTCAGCATGGTTAACTCATTTGGAAAGATTCAATGTTGCTATTTCCTGGCAAGTCAGGATTGGGGTG